AATACTTATCTGAGAGTCAGGGCACTTGAATCTAGGTTCTGCTCAGACACTGCCCAGTTGCATAGCTTTCAACAATTCATTTTACTTTTCTGCGCCTCAATTTCCTCATCTGTAAGAGTACAGGATTGACCAGGGTAATTTTAGGGTCTCTTCTGATTGCAACATTTTATGTCTTGTCTGTAAAATTAAAGAGAATCCAAGATCCACTATGAGTTAGAAAAATAAGAGTAAATATCTGAATAATGTCAAATTTTGATTTTTTTTGAATGCAGAAAGTATCTGTGGCAGGAATCTCATCTCCTCTGCTCCACACCTGCTAGGCTCCAGGCTAGGCTGTGCATGTTGGACAAGCTAGTGAGCTAGGACTAAGAGGAGGTTTTGGTTTTTGCTGAAGGGGAAAGAAGACGACCCCAGGAAGAGAATGAAATAGATGGTGTCTCCATAAGTATGCCTCTAAGAAAGAGGTGTCAATCTACGGACAGGGATGGTCTAGGCAGGGGCTAACAGAGGGTGAGTCCCTGCTGCTTCTGCGTCCACTTGCTGAGGTGGGGAGGGGAGCGCATTCTCACTCTTTATGGACAGAAGCCCTGGGGAAGCGGACCGCCTCCGCACTGCTGGGCTTTGGCAGACTTAGGAGAGCTGGAGGACAGCACCCTGGCTCCTCTAGTGAAAGACACGTTTGACTATCATAGTAATAATCTCCTTTATTACATTTTATAACTTATAGCATCTTACAGTCTTTGTTGCATTACACCTTTGAATAATGTGACTCTTGTAACTGACTGTATTTTTCTCTATGCTTTGACTGCTAGAAAGTTCATAGACCAAACTGCAGCCTGGCTCTCAGGGTTACTGTGCACTGTGTGATTTTGTACAGGTTTGCACTGCATATCTCCAGGGGGTGCTGTGTTCCCTTTTGAGTAGGTGTCAGCGCCATTTAATCAAGGCAGAAGAAGTAGTCCTTTAGTCACCCTTATTATTCTTTCCCCCATCTCCAATGGGTCATCCAGACCTTTCCACTGCATGACACAAACATTTCTTAACCACATCCTATTCTCCTCAACCCACTGCAGCTGCCACAATTCACATCCTCACCATATTCCACAGTTGCAACAGCTTCCTAGCAGCTCCAGATATGTATAAAACAGCAGAAGGTTTTCTCCTCTCCTGGAGGGCTCAAGAATTATGGGAAGAATTTTCACTGTTGCTCCCTATCACACACTGACAGGACAAAACCTAAGATCTGTATCAGGGTTTACAAGGTCTTCCTAATCTGGCCCTGCCCACCTCTCCAGTTACCTCCTATAATCCCCAGCTCTGTTCTCCATTCACGGATGTGCTTGTAGTTCCTCAGACATACACCATGCCATGCCTCCTTGCCAGTTCAAATATTGTTCCATCTGCTCCAAGTGCATTTCTCCTCGAGAAAAGCTCCTACCCTCTCCCCTATGACACTGCACATTCTGGAGGCAGGGTCTGTGTCCGACTGATCTTTGTTTTGCTGGTACCTAGCAAGACGGGGGTAAGGGATTAAGAGATACAAGCTACTATGTATAAAATAAATAAACTAGAAGGATATATAGCACAACACAGGAAATACAGCCAATATTTTATAATAACTACAAAAGGGAATATAACCTTTAAAAATTGTGAAACTATTTTGAACCCCTGAAACTTATATGATATTTTACATCAACTATACCTCAATAAACAAAATCTCAGAAGTTTTTAGACCTTTTTAAAATGTCTTAATAAATAAACAAACAAATAAATAAATAAAATGTCTTGGGGTTCTGAGGCATCAAAGTTGGGAAACTGTCACACTGAGCTTTCAGGGTACCAGCTCCCTATCTATAATTGTAACCCAAACTCAGCAGGCAGAGGGTTATAATCACATATTGCACCCCTAAGTTCATGGAGAACTCTTACTTATCCTTAAGACAGTTCCCACCTCCTTTTCCTCTGAGTATACTGGAGACAGAATTAAACTGACCAAGTGATGTTAATAATAATTAAATATAGCTGCATTCAGGAGCTCTATTAGGGTTAGACTTTAATGAGCCTGAAGGTAATAAATGTTGCTCAGGGAAAGTTATGGAGCTCAAGATATTTAGGCTTTTGTCCTCACAGAACAGCCTTAAAGGATAAGAAAGAATGACATAGATCATAAGCCCTGACACCTGGGGTCTATATTAAAGGTGGAGCTCCTGATATTTAGGTGATGACAATGAACTATGACTAGCAAAAAGATGCAATAAATGGAGTGGGCTGTGGGGGTGGAAAAAAATCAGTGCATTATTTCCAAGTAGGCTGGGCTTTTAAGGCCAATAGCCGTGTGATTCGAGGTTGGCATATTACTGGCTGGTGAGTCTAGGTGGCAAATCATATCTGATGCGTCACATGCTAATAAGTCCAGGTAATGAAACTGTATTTCCTTGGATTCTCTTGCTATGTCAGCAATATTTTCCATCCTCATGCTTCCGGTTACACGTTTGTTTAGTTACCATGGCACTGAAATGACCACATTCTTGAAACTTTGGTGCCCTCCACAAAATTAATTAGACTGTAAACAGAAATTCTAGCAAAGTGGTACATCTCATCATGCAATGAAATTACCAGTGCAGCTGGGAGCATATGCCATGGAAGGAAAAGGAGAATCACTCTTACTCTAAGAAAAAATCGGTTATTGGATTACTACAGCTACAAAGACTGTGTATTAGGTTTTATGTGCCTAGGACGGCAATTTGCAGAATAGTTTTCAAAATCCCAGTAATATGTTGGCTACTCAACTTCAATGCATAATATTGGGGCTTTTGCAACTGACAGACTGACAGAAACAAGACTGGAGAGAAGCTGCTTGATTGCCTCGAGAGTGGCCTAAAGGAAAACCGCCCTTTAAAACAGTGGAGATGCCAGCAGGACAGACTGTCACTTTCTAAGAACTGAGCTTTATTCACCTGGCCAGAGAAGACATAATCTGAAAGAAAATTTCTCTATATCTTTTTGGAGATTCTTCAGCCCTTCACACAGAAATGGTGTGTCATACATCTTGGGACCAGCGCAGATGACCCTGTCAAGTGGTTAAGAAGGTGGGCATGAATGCACAGGGGCAGGAGAGGAAATGCCAGCAGGCACAACCCATCCAACATTGAGCAAAATCCTGGCCTTTTTTGCTCTGAATCCCCTTTTGGCTTCTATGTTGCCAGTACATTAGGTGCATGTTTGGGGAAATATTTCTACCCTCTTAAGGTCCATGTTATTATTACTAATGAATTAACTCAGAATGCTCATGGCTTTGTTCCATCCCAAAAGATAACACCTAAAAGGCAATGCCAAATTAAAAATTTCTATCATTTGCAATCACGCCACAAGACTCTCTTCTGCTAAATCTAGATCCCCATGCTCTGAAAATTAAAAATGGGCAAAGATTTCCTGCAGACCTGTACAGTCCTGGAGTAAGGGTATACCCATGACAGAAGAGATTGTTTTCGATATATATCCACTGGGGAATGCTACACACCCACACAAAGCTGCCAGGTACTGCCTTTCACATTTAAAAGCTGTGATTTACTGACAGATATGTAAAATCTGATGTATTTAGTCAGCTCCTGTCAACCACATGTGTACTGAAACACAAATTACATAGAAGTGCTAATTATTCCAGCTGAGATCAGCATTAATTGAAACTTAGAATAACAATCCCCTTAAAACTTTCTTGAAAAACTTGTTGCCACATGAACTCCAGTGGTTTTTGTTTTGTGGTTTATTTTGTGTTTGTGTGTGTGTGTGTGTTTAGTGTAGCCTATTGAGCTATCTGTCCTTTCCTCATGCAAGGAATTTTTCATAAGGAGAGGTTCAGGAAGCTAAGGAAAGGAGCTACATTATAGAACACACAGGTTACACTGATGTTAAGAGCCAGTATCCTCTCCAGTGGGTCTGCAGTCTGCAGGCATGTCCTCAGCTACACTCAACAGCCAGCCTCTGTATTCTAGGAGGGATGACACAGGTCAGTTAACCATCTTGTTTGTATTTAGAGCTAGGAAGCAAACTTAAAGTTCAATATTTGGGGTTTTAGATTACATACTACGTGTGAAATTTAGCTAAAACGCCAATTTTCCCAAGTTGCCACCATGCTGTGTGTATGGCTGAGACTTTCCCCCCCCAGGTATATGCAAGGAACCTGGATACTGCAGTTCCTTTATTATATATCCATGACATGTATTGTTTTATTTACAAGATTTACTTTGTATTTTAGCACATATGTATAATTAACAATATATGCATAGATAGGGCCAGCTAGTCCAAATATGGTGAAATTATACTATATAGATGATACTTCCAGTAAAAAGATCTTATTTCTTCTTGACAGCCTGAGCCTATTAGCTGTCTGAAATCCCTAGGTATAAAGTGATTCTTATAGGACACTTTTCCTTGGAGTTTAAAATGTAAGACAATGGGCTTCCCTGGTGGCGCAGTGGTTGAGAGTCCGCCTGCCAATGTAGAGTATGTGGGTTCGTGCCCCGGCCCAGGAAGATCCCACATGCCGCGGAGCGGCTAGGCCCGTGAGCCATGGCCGCTGAGCCTGCGCGTCCGGAGCCTGTGCTCTGCAACGGGAAAGGCCACAACAGTGAGAGGCCCGCGTACTGCAAAAAAAAAAAAAGTAAGACAACACTATGTCTCTCTATCCTATTACAAAAGCGGCCTTATATTCACAACTAACAGAAATCAGAAAATGCCAGAAGTTAATGTACTGGAAACAGCTGTTGACCCTTTTTGGTTTTATAAACAAATATGGTATTTGTATGAACATGTAGGTCCCAAATGAATATGTAGGTAGAAAATATATAGGTCCTATGAATATGTAGGTAGAAAAGAGTTAAGAGCAACACCTATTTGACCATCCTGTCAGGCTAGAAAGTAGACAGTTGGAGTTTCCTCAGGGAATTCTTTAGAAGGATAAAGTAAGGAGCACCACCAATATGGCATATTTTTCCTTGCAGAATGGATCATCCACCTGCGGATCTTGGAGCAGAAAACCAATCTATTTTTTTCTCTAAAACTGAAGGAGTTCTTGAGGGAAGGAAACAGCCCTGTACATTATGCAGAGGTATGTCCACTTCAGATAGTATCTGATTAGGACTGGTAACAAAAAGAATTTAACAGTAACAAATTTTCCGTGTGGTTAACTGGAATTACTAAGTGGCTAAAAAATTAAACTGAAGTACAAAAACATGTTTTCCATGTGAGTTTTCCTTTGACCTTCACTCCTTCCTCATTTATTTAACCATTCTATGAGCATATGCTAGACACTAAGGATGCAAGGATGAATAGGATACAGTCCCTACCCTCCGGGTGCTCCCAGGGTAGTGAAGGAAACAGCCATATGAACAGGTAATTATGAAACAATGTGTTAAGTGACAATGATATGCAGAGTATTATAAAAATATAGAGGTAATTCATTCAGGGCCTAGACACCTCACCTTCTGAGGAGGTGACAGAAGTTTGCCAGGTGAAGGAGGAAGAGAATTACATATTGAGGGAAAAGCAAGAGTTAAGACAGGGCTTCCCTGGTGGCGCAGTGGTTGAGAGTCCGCCTGCCGATGCAGGGGACACGGGTTCGTGCCCCGGTCTGGGAAGATCCCACATGCCGCGGAGCGGCTGGGCCCGTGAGCCATGGCTGCTGAGCCTGCACGTCCGGAGCCTGTGCTCCGCAATGGGAGAGGCCACAACAGTGAGAGGCCCGCGTACCGCAAAAAAATAAAATAAAATAAAATAAAAGAGTTAAGACAGATGACCAAAAGAAAAAAAAAGCATATATATAAATATAAATGTATGTATACATGCATATATGCATATATGTGAAGAGTAACTATAAGCAATTGGTGTTACTGAAGTTTAAAGCTCAAATAGTTTAAAAAATGATAAGGCTAAAGAGAGCATCATCAGTAAAGGATCCATTTTTCCAAAATTAAAGAGCACTTGCTTTAGTCTGAAAGCCATGAGGAAACACGGAAGGATTTTAATTAGGAAAGTAGCAGCGGCCAATATTTGTTTCGCCAACATCACAACAGCTGGCAGTTACGTAGAGGATAGATCTGAAGGTAAGATCTGGGCTAGAGACAGAGACATGAACAGCATTATCATAATAGGGGCAGTAGAACCTCCGAGAAGGAAATAATCTCCTAGGGATAGTGTGCAGAGCAAGAGGCCGTGGGCTGACCATGAAACCCTACAGCATACCCACATTTAAAGGCTAGGTAAAGAACTTAGGTGGATTTTATTAACAATCTTCCTTGGTCGGAGGAGATTATTCTTGATTTGGCCGGTGTGCCCACCTACTGCCTGGTTATTCCATGATTAGATTGGTGTCCAAAAAAGAAATGGTTTCATATGTGTATTTTGAAAATATTAATTTAAGATTTATTTCATCCTCAGCAAAATTGTTCCAGTATGCAATTTTAATAAAGTTGGAGTATGAAATATATATTTCTTATTAGATCACACCAAAACTACAAAGAGTTTTCTTGATGGTTAAATTACCTTACCGTGTAGAGAGAGAAAGCATAGGAAATGATTGCCTTTCCTCTGTTCCATGGTGGGTTACTTTATTCTTAGAGCCCATGCATGGTCCACGACAGAACAAGTACCTGGTAGTGTGCCCACTGTAGGTGCCAAGAGCTGTTGTATCTACTCTAATATGTGTGAAGCTGGATCACTTAAATAAAAGTTGTTCTTCATGATATGGGTGATCTCACCCACTCCAATGACTTCAACCACCAGCTGCACACAGATGCGTTCCAAATCCTTGCCTTTCTTCTGAGTTCAGGAGCCTTATGAACAGTTGCCAACGAGGCACTGTGGATGGCCTCCAGGGACCTCCCACTTCAAATGCAGAAAAGTAAACTTGTTTTCTTTCTCATACACACGTTCCTTCTCCTATAGTCACTGTCTCCAAGAATGACACTAAAATTTGCTCAGTTACCCAGGTCAGCTCAGATTCTTCTTTCTCCTACACCACCTCTTGCAACCCTTCGACCACCTAACCCTACAGAATCTAATTATTTTGATCAATGGTCTTCATCTCCTCTTTTCTACTCCTCATCCTCTGTCCTCTCCTAGCCTTTAAGTCCCTCACCCAACCAATCCTAACTCCAGGGTTTGATCATATTATTCCTTAAACGTGTAAAATGTTTTTAGTGGATTCCCATAGCCTTTTGAAAATTCTGACTTCTTAGAGGCCACAAGTCCCCCCATGATGTGGCTCCTGTCTAACTCCCCAGCTTTATGTTTCGTCTGTGGCTCTCGACCCTCAGCCTGCCCCACACGTTCACATTCAACTATACCGTTGAATGTGAATTCAATTATATTTTTTATATGCAATTCGATGGACTTGGGAATCTAAAATAGTCATTGCATTACCTCTGACACACTTGAACAAGAATTAAATAATTTCTAATTTACTCAATAATCACCTAACATAACGATACACGTCATGTCTTTTGGCAAAAACAAAAACTAGATATATTGAGTTAAAAAGGCAAATGAAAATCTTATCCCGATGTTTGAATTAAGTCTTTTTTAAAAATAAGGAGGAATTCCCTGGCGGTCCAGTGGTTAGGACTCCACGCTTTCACTGCTGAGGGCCCAGGTTCAATCTGTGGTCGGGGAACTAAGATCCCGCAAGCGCACGGTGCAGCCAAAAACAAAAAAATTTAGGAAAATGCAATCTATAAAATTTCCTTTTAAAAATTACTCTCTTGTTTCACACAGTCTAATTAGAGTCTGTTTCATTATAATTTTATCTGAACTCTATATGCTGTAGTGCAAACCCTGTGAGTCATAGGATAACTATTCCCAGTTTGTAGCCAATTCTCCAGAGAAGCGAAGGAAAAAAGAAACAACTGCCTTTTAAGGAAATCAAACCTGTTTCTAGAGATAAACCTCTGTCCGTTTCTATTGGAACATATTCTCAACAACCAAAAAAGAATACTATAAAACACAGGTCTATTGGATGAGCCATGTGGAAAATACGTCTGTAGGTTTATTTAATGTTTCTCCTATGTCAAAATCTATTATACATAAACACATTACATAAACATGTGCACCTGGACACATGTGAAATGGTAAAAATAAAAGGACATTTCTTTCTCTGCAAACATTACAACATCTGGTCGCAGTTTGGAATTATATTTTGGCTACTCTGTTAAAGAAATTTGTTTTTAAAAGTAAAAAAAGAAGAGAACTTGGAGTTTCTAGGAACCTTATAAAACATGAAATTTGTATTGCAAAGCATTTGTATAGAAAGCTGAATGGGAAAGATTGTAAAAAGTAGGGCCACGCAGCAGGCACTGTTCAATTAACCCCTCTCTGCCTAACTCTACAATTTGATGGGAAAACTATCACTTCAGTTTTTACTTCTCTCTAACTCTGCTCATTCTCTGATTTTGAAAAGTGAAAGAATATAAAATTTTAGTATTTGGAGGCTTGACATTTAGCTATTTTTCCAAATATTTTGCAACTGCTTTATTCTCCTTACATTATACCAAAATATGCCTGCCACTAGTCTTTTTGTCAGTGTCTTGGACTGACCTAGAAAAATGACTCCTGGCATAATCAAATTCTTCTTTTAAAGTAAAGCACAAGGGATTGATGTTTATCCAGTAACACAAATCCATTTTTACAGATTGAAATATTTTTAGTGTTGCTACCTGGAAGTCATATATAATAAGAAATACACATATACATGTATGTACATATATCTACATAGTATAAAACCAGGTTTTGTTTTTGACTAAATTCTTTCCTACTTCTCTTATCCAAACAACAAAGCTATAGCTGAAGAATTCAAAAATTAAAAACTTGATTCCCGGATATTGTCACAACACCCTAATGCCATTATTCAGTCAGAGAATTGCAATGGTTGAATTCTATGAATCTGAGGGGGGAGGGACTTGTTTTTAACCAAGTTACTTTTAATCAACTGACAGGGTTTAATATGAAGAATAGGTAAAATACTTGTACTAATCAATATGAAGAACACAAATAACCTAAAAGAAAAGTATTCTAAAGATATGAATAGGCAATTCACAGACGAAAAAACACATACAGCCAATAAACAAATGAAGAGATATTCAAATTACCTGGTGGTCAGAGAAATACAAATCAAGACCACAAAGAGATAACATTTTATACTTAGAAGAATGGCAAAAATTTAAAAGTCAGATCAAGTGTTGGAGAAGATGTAGAGGCACAGGGTACCTTAGGCATTGCTGGTGGAATTGTAAAATCATGCATCAATTTGAAAAAGAGTTTTTTCTCCTAAACCTGATCATTTACAAATCTACGACCCAGCAATTCCACTCCTGGGTTTATAGCTAAAAGAAACCCTTGCCCTCTTGCAGCAGGAGACATGTTCCAGTAGGATTGCTCAAAACAGCAAAAACCTGGAGCAGCCCACATGCCCCTTGACAAGAAAATGATAAGTAAACTGTGAGATGTTCACATGGTGGAATACTATACATCCAACAAAACAAATGAACAAGTTGCAGCCATATGGATATATCCTACTGATAATATCTTAAGTGAGAAAAACAGTCTCCAAAGACTAAATACAGCAGGATACCCTTTTTATAAAGTTAAAAACAACTAAAATTAAAATATCTACTTCTTAAGAATGCATACATATCTAATAAAACTATATAAAAAGAAAGGCAAGGGGGCTTCCCTGGTGGCGCAGTGGTTAAGAGTCCGCCTGCCGATGCAGGGGATGCGGGTTCGTGCCCCAGTCCAGGAGGATCCCACATGCCGTGGAGCGGCTGGGCCCGTGAGCCATGGCCGCTGAGCCTGCGCGTCCGGAGCCTGTGCTCCACAACGGGAGAGGCCACAACAGTTGATGAATACAGAATTCAGAATGATGCTTACATCGAGCCAGGAGAGGCAGAATGATATGGTGGGAGATGGGGGTCCATCATGTTAGATGTAGGTTATTTTTTTAGTTTTTGGTTAGGAAGTTGAGGTCACATGTGCTTATGATATTATTAAAAATAGCTTAAAAATGTGCTATGAACTAAGGATTATAATTATTCCAATTCTGTGCTCCTGTTGTCCAAAGTAAAAAAAAAAAATTGAAGTAAAAAAAAATTCACAGTCTGGCTCAAACACTTCGGAAGGCATTATTTTTTAGAACAAATAATGACCTTATTTGGTTGTTTTTCTGTTCTTTTGAAGGACATTTTTACATTAATATTTTTCATTATGTAAAGAATACTTCCCTATATCAAAGTAAAACATATAAAATATCAACATATTTAGCACTAAGTCCAATGGATTTAATCCTTCCCTAACAACTCTGATTTTGCTATAAGAGTAACTATTGATACTTTGTCTTTCTCTCTCTTTCTCCTTCCAATATCCTAAAAAACACTTTCCCGGACCATCTTTTCCCTCAAGTAGATGCCATCTTTAGTCTTTCTGTTTTCTCACCAGTCACATCCTATTTGCTATCTTTCTTTCACTGCCAAACTTTAAATATAATTGTCTATACTTGTATCTCCACTTGCCCTCCTCTAATTCCCATT